TCTCCACCCCTAAGGCTCTACTCCCATCCATGCTCCGTCAGCCGTTCTCGCATCTACAGTGCTCCTTGTGAGCGTAAAATCTTGCGCTCCTCGAAGTCGCGCTAAGCCGGTCAATTCGGTCAGGCCGACTTTGCATGATGGATTCCGTATGATCCTGGCGCTAGAGAAACACTTTGAGCAGGACTTCCCTGGGCTTCTCTTCGACCGTGATTTTTGTAGAAACCTGCGCAGTTCCTCCAGCGGACTTCTCCAGGGCCTCATCGGGCCACTGCAGATCGCCCCCAGCACTCCCCCTTGCGCAGAACCACGGAGCTCCTCCGGAGCGAAGCGGAGTCTTGAAGGCTACCCTTGCATTTCATGCAAGGCACTATATCATAGTACACCGAGCTTCCTCTGATATTCATACCTATAAACGCTTGTGAAGCTTTCCTGGAAGTACATAGGAGTCGGCTGTCCCCGATTCTCATCATTGAATAGCGCCACGATAGCGCTCTTCGTGGTATTGAAGTGGAGTTGTTCTCCCGCGCCAGACTAACTTGCTCTGACCTCATCTCTCAGCGTCCGGAACGGCGACTTCACGTATAGTCATCAGACAGTTTCCACCGATTCGGCCGCGCTTCTCGAATCCCGAGCGAGATTGAATTAGGTCCGATAGTTCGAGAAGCAGCGCGGCGAGAAGACGAGACCGTTAATTCACCACACATGCGGGATAGTGGATCGGCGAAAGAAGGTCGAGAATCAGACTCGCTCACACACTCAGTGAAGAGTTATACTCGATATGTATAGCCGCTGTCACGCATGTCAGATGTGAACATTTTGAAGAGATCTGAACTTACCCACAGCAAGCCCGCGAATTCCGGTCGGAAGTTAATCACGGAGTTCCGTGGAGAACGCAATTTCAATGTTGTGGAATCGCTGTCACCACTGGATCACCGATTCGTCAATACAGCATGACGGAGCTGACCAGCACGATCACAAATCGATTGGAATTTGGATTCCTTATAATAACTAGCTAGATGGACGACTCGTAACGCTTGCTCAACATTCACAAGAGATGTGAACTATCGGTGGCATACATCTCTCCTACGAAGAGGCTCGTGATCGCGCGCATGCTCATTAACACTCTCTCTTGCGCAACATCACCTCCTATGCATCTTGAGATCGACATGGCGATAAAGTAGCTCTGTCACGGCAGTGATTTGTGTGAGACGCAGAATTTGTATGGCTTATTTATGGTTCTGTAAGATTATCTTAAGAAATGACCAGAGAAAACCAAGAACAGGCACAACTCGAGGTCAATATATTCCGAACTTCCGATCGACGTCACTGTCGTCGAAATCAGTCGAAGAAAGTTGATTGGAGCGGCCGTCGTGCTCTCGGCTTTCCCAGCCTTGGACGAAGCTGCTCACTCAATTGGCACGGAGATCCCTCGTCGCCTCGAGGGCCATCGCGTCTTGGTAGCTCTGCTGCATATTCCGGGGGCTCCCGATGAACGAAGATGGGAGAACGATTCGTCTCCCTGAGGGTCCCGGCACGTCATCGTGGAAATGATCACTCAATCCACTATAAGTGACGATGCGGAGCTCTCTCGGATGAGTTCTATGGTAGTTGAGTGGATTCTGCTCGATCTTGACAAAAACGCGTCTACGACAAATTGTGGCAGGAGTTCTCTTCCATATACCAATGGAATAAACTCGTTATTCCGCAAGGACAACAAACAAGAATAGAAATATTTCTGCGTGATCCTCTTGTTTCCTCCGAGTTCATCAAGTTCGGATGCCCACACGATTGGCCAGCGGCGAGAAATCATGGGTAAGCGAGCCTATCGCATCGGTCATCGAGAAAAGATATGTGTGTCAGCGTACCGCTCCTCCGATGCACAGCCAAGCTTCTCTGCGGAGGAACGTAGTCGTGCTCAGTAAGGTCAAACGACCGCGATATCGTTTGCAGTCGGCAAATCGTACGGACGACTTCCTAGACCATGGGAAGTTGCCTCCTCGAAGCGCATAGTTAGTTCCGGAAAAGGTCATTGCTCCCGGGGCGCGAGTTGATTTTCTGCTGCTTAGATTTCGCTCAACATTTTGAACGCTCTCGCGTAAGGATTGACAGCCATCAACAGAGAACTCGAAGTCCTCATGGTATTCGAATGACACTGGCTGTTCTGTTGAAGACGCAAGTCGGTAGCCTGCTCTTTATCCAGGATGTAGATTCGACCGTAGAGTCGCGCGTTGTCGGGTTCTGGATGTAAAGCTCCTACACGATGATTTTGATCATGGATTCTGTAACAGAAAGCTCCCCGTCCTCTGGGCGGCGCGGGTCGAGCCCCCACAGAAGCCAGAGCCAATGCAGAATTGAAGTTTTGGATGTTCTCGTGGAAATTTTTGTGACGGTTTCTGAATTCCATATCATCCGAGTGCGCAGGCAGGAAAAGAAGTCTCAGTTCTTCCGAATTATTCTCAAAAAGTCGCAAGGCCATTCGGCCTGTGTCACAGCATTCACGGAGTGTCCGGGTGCCGGGGATTCGCTTGGAAGTGAGACGCGCGGCATGACGCACAGAGTGTTCTCATCGGCCCCAGGTAAAAAAGAGTGGTCTCTCGCAAGGTCCATGCGTGCGGTGCTGGTAAGATTGTCGGTTGACGTCTTCTCTGTCGATGTTGCATGCGATCAGCTTCGCGAATCCGTTCACGGTTCTCCGCTGATAGTGTACCTCTGTGTTGACGTTGCCTCAATGCTCCCTGAATCAGAAAAGAACGCGAAGCTGAGCGAGTTCGAGAGGCGATCGGTTCTTCGATCGCTGAATCCATTGGCTGAACTCTTCGAGGACTACGGAACAGAAAAATACAGACACCCTAGGGCGCACTGAACAGTAAAATATTCTTGGAGTCGGGAGCGCTCGCTTAACCGTTAGGAATTCATTTAGGCCTCGAATCTGACTGCGTGTTGGAAACTTGGAAGCTCTTCTAATGTCCTGAAAAAGTAATAGAGGATGCCCGGCGAGCGGACGATATACAAAGGAGTGTGTCGAGGGAAAATAAGGTAGGAACCATATGCTCCGCGATCATCCGCGGTCAACCTTAAAAGCGCAACGGCGGAAGCTTGAAACAACGACGCATTTTGCCGCGGCGACGGGAATGCTCGCGGTCATTCTAGAGTGCGCGGCGGCGAAGCTTGAATCTGCGACGGTTTTGGCCGCGGCGGTGAATCATGCGTGGGAAGGGAAACGCTTTCAGGGACTGACCGCAACTGGAATCACGGAACGCGGCGGCAGCACTGTGGTGTGGCGAGGGGCACTCGATGACGTCATGTTCCGCTTTTCTGGGGGCAAATTCGAGCACCGTGATGCAACCCCTCAGAACCTATTTATGGCCTGAGGCGCCATGGAGAGCGCTCGGATGCCCTGACGAAATTTGTTATGGATGGATATGGATATTCTTCAATCCGCTTCGACGCTTCTGAAGAGGCTACCTTGAGACGTTCAAATTCAGACTCGGCGCCCAAGGGAGGGGGAGCTCGAGTCGACGTTGTCCCCTCTTCAGGCATAGTGCATGAATCGCCCACCGGCATCGTCAAATGTTCGCCAGATCTTATGTGTCCTTGCGCATATTCTGAGCTATCAGTATTGCTGATCGAAAGCCAAAGCAGCGTTTTGCGCCGGAAATTCGGCGACCGCTGAGACCGATCCCGCCTACTTCCTAAAGATTCCAACAGATGTCCAGAGGAGAGCTCTGAAGCTCTTTTGGAGGCCGAGCTCACGGATGTCTCTGTTTCCTCCGGAGTACTCCGAGGCTTTTGAAAATAACAGCCTCCCACATAATTCGAATTGCCATGAACCGTCCTTTGCCCATCAGTTCCATAGACGGATTGCGATGGCGTCATTCGCGGAGCAAAGCTGATAGACTTCAACGTGATAAGAGAAGAAAGACATGGACCCACGTCGATCCGAAGCTCAGGGGCTCCTCCGAAGGTTGAGCTTACTGTACCCTCAGAACCCTTCGAATTTCTTCGAATTCCTTCAAATTTCTTGGTTTTCATATCTACCGAGAAAAATCCGATTGTGATAGTGATAGAACCCCCTTGGACCTCCCTCAGGTGGGTTGTATTGCGATGCTCCACTTCCGTCTCAAAGTCGATAGAACTTTACATTGTGTGAAGAGTATCTGAGCCGGCGTCGGAACAAAACGGGTATCAGACCCCGGAAATATTTTGGACAAAATTTCCTGGTCAACCTCATTGAGCTATTGGAGTTCGGGAAGTTTCTTTGTTTGGAGGGTCAGGGCAACAATCACGTACGTAATTTAGCGTATGTGTGTAAGTTGATGAGGCAGAAAGAGTTGGTCACCGATTCCTTGGACGCTCTGCATTCCCGGAGGCGTGAGTCTAGCAGTATGCGTCCTCCATGGAAAAAAATTGGTTGAACGGCCGGTCGTCACTCGCTTCCGGTTACAATGATTCTGATCTCGCAATTAATGCTCTGTGAAAGTCTCCCATCAGCGGCAGTAGACCTGAGATGTCGGGGAGAAGTAACGAGTCTTGAGTGAGTGCCCAGTGCCAATCAGCAGCTGCGGAAGTTCAAACTTCGTTCCAGACGGGTTTAGGAGATTTTCAGACCGCGACTGCTGACCAGAAGGCAGACCATTTTATGGGTGAATTGACAAGGAACATGCTAATGAGTTCCAGTTAGAACTCGGCTGTCACAACGGTATTATTTTTCGGAAGCTGAACTCATGTTTGGATTATCTCGGTATATGATGACTTTGAGCAACACAGGAGACCTTCACCGCACTCTCGATCCCCCGGGGGTCGGGCCGCCCAATGTAGGTCCCACGGAGACTCCTCGAAGAATCACGCAACGTATCTGAATAACATTCTCACAGAACTCTCACACTTTTCTTCCTGATCCACACACATATCCGGAGCAGTTCACGGACATTGGTGACTAGGCCATATGTAAGCTGCCGCGCTGCTCTGACGACGGCGTTGACGGTCCCAGATCGGGACAGAGCGCCTAGAGCCACGGAGCCGCTCTTCCAGGTGCTGGACATTATGTAGAATCGTTCCACAATAATTCTACGAGGTGAGTTTCTTCATTAGCCTTTCCTGTCAGCTCAGAGTAGCCGTCATCTGCGATGCTCCGCGCTGTCCTTGGTATTATGGGCGTCGGGATACGTATTGTGGGTGTCGGAAGCGCTGTGGGTTCCATGATTTCCTGAGGATCACGTTCTCCTTCCAGTGATTGTTCCAATCTCGATCGCTGTGTCATGTTTTTCTGTCGACGATGAGCTGAATGCACTGCAGGATGGGATGGTGAGTGTAGGGACGTAATTCACAGAGATGAAGAGGAGCACGGAGTCAGCGACAGGAGCGGATGTGCGCGCTTCGCGACGCCGACGCACCACATGGGAACGACCGTTGAAGCACGGGCATCGATCGCGTCAGAGCGCGATGGCGCGGCGAGTAGAACCTTTCCGAAGGCTACATATAGATTTCGGGAGGAAGTTCGAGCTGTGATAGGCTTTTGAGCGATGGGGCCGGTTTATAAATTGAGTGTGGATATGATTTCTTCCCTCTGCCGGAAAACAGATTGGGGAATGAATTCGAGCGACTGAGCAAGAGGGAATGTTTCCTAGAACGAACCACTATTGAGCTACGGCGAGCGGCGACAACACTGCGGTGTGGCGAGGGCGATTAGATGACGTCATAGTACTCCACGCAACTCGGCCTGCGGTGTCATGAGGACCACTCCGATGCCTGGTCGGAGTTTGGTACCGATTGAACCCCTCCTCCGGCTAGCTGCCATAGACCTCAACGTGACAGTCGCGCGGCGTTTATACAGGGTAGGGCAGTGTATTTTCCCCATTTTGTTTTCCTCATAAAACAAACTTGTCCTTTGCGGTCCGATACCCCCCATCTGGCGGACAAGAATTGGCGAGATAATGAAATAATAGTCTTACCACTGAAAAAGATATTCAAGCTCGTTGACAATGACGGAATGGCCTAGCATGAGATCACTCCTCCAAAGTTTGAGAAGATTCACCACGAAAGCTTCGCAAACGGGTGTCCCAATCATGATGGAGCTGATTCGCTAGTCACTTCACTTCGCTCTCAACTGATTCTCAATCGAAATCTCCACAGGAAATTTTGCTTGAAAGCAAATGTCGGTCATAGCTTGCACAAAAATGTCAAGCTTCAATGTTCAAAGATTCGCGGAGTCACCTCGAAAAAATGGGACCATATTCGAAATGCTCGCTCTGCTTCGGAATTCGTCTCTCAAAACTCAGATTCAGTCATTCCCCATTGCCGACGACTTTTGATCTCTGATATTGTTTTCAGCAGGAAGACCGTTATTTCACTATCTCGCCAATTCTAGTCTGCCAGATGAAGAATAGCGGACCAAAGGGTTTCTTTTCCAGAAAGGGCAAGTCCCCCCGGTCATGTTGCCGCAAATAGAACTTCGCTATCCCTCTTGGTTCGGATTTTATGAGGAAAACAAAATCGGGAGAATATACTGCCCCACCCTGTATATGGTTATAATATATATGGTATGGATATGGATAAAGGAATCACGCAGCTCGGAATACTTCTCTTTCAAATAAGCTCGAACCATCTGGAATATTCAGTTCCTCAGGATTGCAGGTGGAGAGAGAAATACTCGTACCCGTCAAATATGGATTCGATATTCAAGTACGTACATTGTTGCTCCAGGGGACGTATGCGGCTCTACATGGTGCGAATCTCACATCCTATGACGTGTTGACGTCGGATGGTTGGTTGCTCGGGGTCCATCGGGTGCAGAACATGGAGATTTTCGACCCGAAGCTCTCGACGCCGGTCCTGCTCTGCCACGGCTTCGCAGCCGCCTCCTTCGACTATTTAAGTAATCGTCGAAACGAGAGCCTCGGCTTTTTGCTGGCGGATCAGGGCTACGACGTGTGGATGATCAACTTTCGAGCGAATCGCTTCAGCAATCGGAAAATGACATCTGACCGTACGATTACTCCGCCAACCCCGGAAGATTATCTCCGAGTATCGTAAGTTCTGCAAGCCCCTCCCCATACCTGCGACCTGAGTTTGACTATCAGCTATTGTGTTCCATAGAGCGGACCAGATCTCTGAGCACCGAATCTTGAATATAATATTCCCGAATGTGCTATATTTTGTTGATTTACGGCTCGATTATTTATTAGCCCTCCATCACAATGCTCACTTTTTCGAACACAGTCGGGAACCCCAGGCCCCAGGTGGTGGCTCAACCAGAGGTTGCATTGTTGTGAATCGTCCATCAGAATCATCAATGTTTCTCTCTCGCGTACCCGGATATTCATTCCATGTAGAATATAATCTCCGGAGTGCTTCCTTCGTTTGGGGCGACTCTTGACTGTATCATTCGCGCGGCACTTCGAGGGTTCCGGCATTCAAGAATCAAACGCTAAAAACCTTCCTCTTGGCTACCGCACGCTTAGCAGGGAGGCAATGAACCCGCTCAGGCATCAGCCAGAACAAGATTGCCTCTCGTGGGACCGTTCACCCACGTACATATTATGTACATACACATGCTCGATACCTCCCTGAACATTATGGTCTCTAGATCTTCCAAGAATGTCTACTTCGCATCGTAAAATTATTTCGCTTCTTCGGACATTTAATATCACGTGAGATATAAGGACTGCAGCCTTAGGATCTCTCTGAAGGTCAACACCCCTTGTCGCTTTCCAGGTTTCAATACATGGCTGAGAGGGATATTCCGGCCGTGGTTGATAAAATTCTCGAAGAAACTGAGCAAGATGCGATCTACGCTGTCGGATATTCTATGGGCGGCACCTCGATGTTCGCTATGCTATCGGAAAATCACAAATACGATGACAAGGTATGCAGACTTGAAATCCTGACCGATCTCCGATCCAAAATTTTCATAAGGGCAGCGAGCGTAGCTGAGAGGGGGGACCTATCTGTCCCGTTCATTTCCCCAAACGTCCGAAAAAGGTATGGGAACAGATAAGCGCTCGTGGAGCGGTCATCGCTGCAGCCTCCCGGCCGGCTGCTCCCGGATGTGGTCTCTCGATCCTCCGACAGGAACGCGCGATACCGGGTACCAATGTGCGACTCTCCACCGAATATCGACGAGACTCCTAGGAAAGCTGTCAGTTTCCGCCGTGGCCCCGGTTTCTTGGAACTTTCTTCCGAGCTGCTTGTCTCGAGCCATAACTCACAGCTTCTGTGTCGCAGATCCTACATTTCGTCGCGCTCGCCCCAGTGTTGAGAACGGGTCCTGATGCTTCTTTCAAGACGCGAACTCTGTTCAGCATCGCTCCCGCAATAACTTTCTTGATGTCCGCGAAGGTTAGTCATCACTTCCGTCGAATTTCTTAACCCTCATCTCGAGCATAGCTCATCGGATAAGCTGCTGAGCCCTAATACATAAGCTGCCGACGGGATAAGCAAGATATAAGATCCTCCATATGGTTTCAAGACTCTCGCACCTGGGATACTCGTCAGGAACTCTCGTCCTTATACGTGCGAAGCGTCGAATTTCTAGTATATCTCCAAAGAAAAAGCAGGGACATCCAGGCTGTATTTCGACGCAAAAAAGCATCCCATATCTAAGAAAAGAGCGTCTTGATCAGCTGGGGTCATTCCGCAACTCTCGAATTCAAACTTCACGGTCCCATGTCGACGATTTTGCGAGATTCAATATATTCATATGAGCGTCCTATCCCAGGAGGACCCCTTTCTTTCATTTGGGGGTATTCGGAGGTACATATTAAAGAGATTCGACCAGCAAATTTGAAAAGCCTTGAGCCATTCTTCAGAGCGTCTTCACGACATTCTTCGGGCGGCAAATACTCTCGACGGCTTCGCTCTCGGATTTTGACTCGACATCCTCCACTGAATGTCAAATGTTCCCGCTGCTCTGCCAAGCCTTCCTCAACATGGTCATAATCACGCAGCCTGGTCTAGGATATAGTCACCTTGCTTCGGTGAGTGGTAAACTTCGGGACCCAACGACTCCAGGCCAGCAGATGTCATGCACAGGTGCTGGCTTTCCTTTAATCGGCGAGTCATATCGATTCCCCATCGGCATATGTATTCCAAATCCATTTTGTTTTTTCAGTTGAGGAATGGTATCCGGAGCTCAATGATCCCTAGCGGCTTTACTCTGATGACTGCGTACCACTTCACTCAAGGATATTCTCGGGGGAATTTGGCGAAGCTTGACTTCAGATCAATTCCTCAGAGCGGAATCCGAAACATCGACGAGTACGGGAGCGTGAGTGTTTTCCCTCGAGCTCTGCTAGTCTTTCTCGAGGGTCCGAGCCAGCCATCGGTGAGAAGGAGCAATGTTTAACATTCTTTCTCGCTCCAGGATGAGCCTCCAGTGTACGATATCGGCGGCGTGCGAGTAAACTACAGCGTGATTTTCACCACCAACGACATGATCTCGGGGGTTCAAACGGCGAAGAAAGTAATTGACTATCTCAACATCGAGCCGGAAAATTATAAGCTCGTAAACGATTTCACCCATCTCGATGTGATCTGGGGCTGGGACAGCCGGTGCTGGATATTCGATGACATCGTCGAAAGATTTAATAACATAGAAATGACCCGCGGTCAAGAGAGGATCGAGTACCGCGGAAGAGCGGTCGCATATGTAGAAAGTTTGAATCTGGAGAATAACTGTGATCAGATCGTCGCTAGCGGCGAATCGTGAAGCTCATTTGCTGCGATATCGTTCTCAAACAATCCCGTCCTAGCAGTGAAATTCTGGTCTAGGCCCGTGGGCAGGTTCCGTGCCAGATAGCTCGCAGAGTTCACTCATCTTTCGAGCGTTCACCTCTAATCACCATGAGGACGGAAATTTTCTTCGGACCATCCTCCGATTTGGCAGTATGACAGAGGAGCTTTCTATCCGCAATATTCAATAAATTCCGCGAATATCGCTCTCGGAGCTGGTTTTCAATCGGGCTTGAGCTTATTGGGAGCCTCCCTCACAACAAAAGTCGTCTCATCCGGTCGGGCAAGCTCCGGACAGATTATTCGGTTCAGCTCAAACGATCATCTCAAATCCTAAAGTGACTTGTTCGCTCTTCGAGATCTTATGAGCTCGCGCGTCCGGTTTTCCCTCAGCCTCCGAACTAATTCAATAAACAATCAAATGCATATCACCAGGATCAATGGTAAAGCGCACACTCCACACATTTGTTCTCCTTCACCGTGATTTATTTCATTCAAAACCGGTGCTTATTCAACACATACGCCAGCCGAGATCGGGAGCAGCCATAGGCTGAGGATAAATGAGATCATTTAGCTCTAATCAGGAGCTCGTGCAGAATATTTCGGTGTGACCAGTCCCGATTCGGCTTACGACAGTGTCCGATTCATGGTTTTTCGGCTTCCTGTACCTAGCAAGGTACGCTTTGATGGAAGTCTTCGACGGAAAACCCGCGCAGCTTCTGCAAGCACTCAAATTCATAGCGGGTACCACCTTGAGCCACTTGCCCTCATCGGTCAATCGACAATCGATCATTTCCGCATGGGGATCGGATATCGTCGCATTTCCTTCCTGGAAGAGAAGAAAAGTTAATTTGATGCAGGCACGCAACAGGATCGGGCGATTTCGAGCTCAATTGAGCCATTCATTGGACCAAAAATCAAGTCTGTCGCTCAGGAGAGGGATGTGCTCAACGATTATTCGGAATCACGCTCACGGGAGCCCGCGCTTCTTTGACGAACACAAGCGAATACCGATAGTCGACCCCGCGCGGTTGAAGTGCCACACGCTCAAGCCCTTTCCAAATTCGGAAGTCACTCCAGTATGTCTGGTTATTATCGGTGTAGCCGCATTTCGCATGACTGAAACGAGGTGAGCTCTCAGATTAGCGGTAAACACCTGTGGCCCCACAATGGTCGATTCGTTGGGTGAATAGACGAACTTCGAGATCCCTTCTTTTTATGAAATCTGACGGATATATGATAGTTTGGACGATTCCGCGATTCGAAAACCCTTGCTGACCCCGAACATCATCCAATGTATGCATCGAATCTACCAACTGTCGATCGATCAATCGTACTTCATCGAAGGAAATCTCAGGCTACGATTAGGGGACTTGCAGAAAAACTTGACCGTTCATCGGAGAGGATTCTCACAAAAATCGAAGGCAAGTAATCTCCCGGGCAGGGATGCCTTAATCATATACCATGGAGTGAAGAGAGCGCTCTGGCTGAAGTAACACACTACACTGAGGAACGACAGCATTCTTTCTCTGAACGTCGGCGTCACAGCTCCGTCGATGGAATCGAGTATCCAGCAAGTCTGAAATTGAGGCAATCCGGAGCAGCGTATGCATTCGAGGAAGGAATCGCAGCAATACGATTTCAATAAGGATGGCCGGTACTCCTCCAGAGAGGAGATCGCTCACCCCGCCTGAGAGAGACTGACATCTGGTTCGGTATGTTACACAACCTACTTTGATTCGAACGAGCCGATTCGGTTGATATGATTAGACGACTTCGACACCAGGATACTATTTCACCGAGTTTAATCATTCGACTTCCTAAGAACAAGCCGCTGGCCCCGTACGCCATAGGATCCCGAAAAAACGCAACGTCCCCGGATTCTCCTCTCGGGATACATGCATTCTAGAATCACTACGATTTTCATCCGGATTGCAAGAAAAACTATTATCGGAGCTCTCTCGCGACAAGACATGCCGGGATAAGGCAGGAAATCTGATTGAGGAACTCCTTCCCCAAGTATTTCTAGAATCGTATACCTTCAAGGCTGGCTTAAGTATCTTTGAGCATTGACGCCCAGAAGGAGTTCCAGGTTGTTGTGGTGATTGTAAATTATAAACCAAACTGGTCATTGATGATTGTTAATGCCTATGGCAAGTTCTAGTCAGGAGTCTTCAGGCCCCGATATCTAAGCCGTCTGGAGCCGGGTCGTAGGAAAATTCCAAAGAGAACGTACTGACAGGTGTAAAGTCAGCTTTCACCCGAACTCTGCAGCTTCGGGATCAGACCTGCCACATAGTACATATGAAAGCGAATACCTATACGAAAGGCTACGAACGGGCCGAAATCCCGACGTTTCCCAACGTCGACGATTTCCCAAGTTTTCAGGGAAGATGTGCAGGAAAAAGAGCAACAGAATATGAGTCCCGTTTCACTCTCTCAGATGACAGTCGAGCGAGACTACCGCATGACCGCAGAAGCCAAGTTATCCGATGCTAGAAAACTTCGGGCCAGAACTCCTGCAGCTGCAGTTGCTCATCCATTCTTCATGACGTCGATACTCGAGACCCGAGAAGAGTTTGGGGCTTGTACGGCAATAGTATGTTATTAGAGGAGACAGTGAGGATCGGAATGGTGACGCGCCTCCCAGGGAACCATCGTTCAGCGTTTCGGCCGATGAATTCTAGAGGGGGGCAAAGGCCACCCCTCCCTGTGCGCGCCTCTGCCTGAAGCAATGGCGCGGCTCACCATAGCTCCCTGATACCCGAGACGGACTAACTTGATGCCATGGCTCAGACCTTGATTTGATGTCTCCCTCGGGGTTTCCCTTGATTCTTCACAGCTATGTCTCCACGATTCACATGGCGAGAAAGAGCGAGCGTGGCGAGGTTTCCCACCTAGAACCTCGAACCAAGGAGTCGCTTCAAAATGAAAAATGAAGCCTTCGAACTTTTCTTAGATAAGCCTGATTGCCCGGAAGCTCTATGCCTCCATGCTTGACCAGCCATGAAATTCCGGCACGCGGGCATTTTAGCCCGCGAGCCGGATGAGATGCTCCGTAAGCCTCTGAGAGTTTGCCGAGAGTTGTCGACAGAAAGCCCATATCACGGACAGCCACTGCTTAGATTTCTCGTACTTGTCGCTGAATCTCTTGAAGAATGCGCGCAGTCCGCCGTCATTCGATCCGGGCGATTGTCGCCGGAGCAGTCGTAATATCATTTGAGTATATTCTGGAGAGCTCTGCGTTCGATCTCGGAGCTATCGGCTCATCGGGTAATGCAAAGCGAGCGGTCCTCATAGTTTCGCAGACTCGGGCGGTCGGGACACCGTGAATGACAACATTATTCTCATGCGATGCTGACTCGCGACCTCCAGGAGTAAATGAGCTTCTGAGGCTGGAGGGAATGCAACTTATTGGTACGCTCTCCATCCTCTGATCACCCCGATCATGCTCACTCAGTAGGCTGCTGCGTCGTCTTTCGACTCGCGCCTTGGCGGAACGGTCGGGGCATCATGCGGAGAGAGCTAGTGGAGAGGAAAAACATCCTGCGCACACCGGAGGAAAACTTGCTAATTTTCCGGGATAACTTGAGAACGATGCGATTGATCAAGTGGAAAATTGCTTCTTACGCCAGCAGGAATGATTCTGCATCGTCAAGGAGTAATTTGGAGTCCTTTGACACGCTGATAACTCCCATTTTCGCTACGGTGACGAACCGAAATTACTGCTTTATTGTATAGGGGGATTTCATTGGGTTCGATGACAAACTTGATTTCATGGGGCTGCAACGAGCGATGAGCCGGGCCGAGAAGAGACTTGGGTTGAAACATGTTCCGGCTCCTGCGTTCCTGAGCGGGTCGCAGGGGAGTCGCCTACCTCCCGAGAAATGGGTTCTCGATGATGCTGACCGATTGGCAGGTAACTAAATAACTAGAGATATATCTCTGGTACACTGATAGTGGGGAGTCATTTCAGAGAAAATACCGAACCGAGAAAAGTTAGTTGATAATGTGTCTAGCTGGCCCTCATCCTTCATGGATGCATCCCTTGATTTATTACTACCTACTCTCGTTGATTCACCCCTTTAGGAACAGAGATCTCTCCGAATGGAGTATCAAAGGGAAGCGTGGCGAGAGGAGTCATTCAATAAGTTGACCTCTTCAAGAGCATGCTTTCTCAAAATCCAAGGATCGCAAGTGGGTCTCCACCCGCTGTGTCCGATAGATCCTGTGGCTCAGGCTTCTCGAAAGCTCAGCTCGGTTGAGCCTCTCGATAATATCGTCGTAAAGGAAGCATCGGGCATCCCAGCCCCACACGGTGTCGATGTGGTTCAGGCCATTCCCGTCTACGAACTGAACGTCTCGTTCACGCAGATCCAGCATATTTACGATCGACTTCGCAGTTCGCGATCCGAAGAATACGTCATTTTTGACGAAGTGAGCGGATATCGAGACATTGATGGCTGAAAAGTCGTAAGCTGGAGGTGCGTCCTGCAGAATGATGAAAGAAGTTATACAGAATTTTGTCCCAAGCTCGATTGGATTACCGTAAATATTCCGATACGAGCCCGGGCTTGTATCATTCTAAACCCCTGCGCAGAGGGGCTTACATAGAGATGGGCTTCTATTGCAGAGGGGCTTCTATTACGGGGGAGCCCCTCATGACTCTACGCGCGGTCGTGCAATGACGGTGATTGGGAATAAGGGACTTCAAAAAGCTGGATTTCTCGTGAAATCTGAAGGTATGGTCTGGAGCAGAACTTCCCGGTTTGATTTCATGCCCCTGAAGGGACTCCTGTCCGAGACTGGCTTCCGTTGGAAAGGGGCTTCTCTACAACTCGAGAATCCCACCGAGGGGCTTCTATTGGAGACGGGCTACTGTTGGAGAGGGGCTTGTACTGGAATATTTACGGTAGCTAATCGATCCTGGAACGGTCACTTATTCCATCCCTGCGGCATAGGTTCTTTCAATCAGCACGGGAGACATACCCTAGAGTATTCGCCCCGATTGCTTATTCCCGTCGACGGAATCTTCCGGTAGTCCATTTTGGTCCAGGGGCTTCTACCGAATTGCATAGCGAAATGGTATAGATTCATCATCGTTGCTCCGGAAGGAAACTTCATCAAGTACAGAGACATACGTTCCTACGAGTAGATGTAAGGCAGCTGAAGTTTCAGGATGGCTTGCCAACCGAACACACCTCTCCTAAATCCGATCTCTTTTACCTTCTTCAAGTGCGGGTCTCCCGCGATTGTCGATTTGAAGTCGGTTTGGAAGAGGAAATCAGATATGTACCGGCAAAGAGATGGAATCAAGCGACACGTTGCGGTCCGCCAGTAGTCTGTCAGAGGAGTTATCCTGCTCGTCACTGGATACAGCGGCTCTCCGAACACCAGCGGAAAGAGCGGCTGCAAGGGATGAGACCAAGAACCCGAATTATTCCGCAGATCACTCGGAATAACGCTCGAAGTCCCGAGTCGTATTTCGATGCCTCTTTGTACGTAGTCCGCATCATGATTGCTTCTTACGCCTTTAGCTACTTTCGGTAGGGCGCGCGTCATCCGGAAAAGCGTCTTGATGTAGGACGAAGTGTCCTCTCCAAATCTCATGACGGGCGATATCGCAACCAAGTGTCCGATCTGGGGAAGGAATATCGCGGGATCGAATGAAACCCCGATAAGCAAGGATTCAAATATCAAACGTCTATCGCTCGGGAGGAGACTTGCTGCATTCTATACTTTGCCATCATAAGCATGATTTTCCGAGAGAAACGCGGAAAGCACCGTGGAGCCCATCGATTGTCCTATGATGTGTATCCGGTTTTGCTTGGTGTGGCCCAGGATTTTATCGAGGATTACTGGAACATCCCTCTCGGCCATGTACTGCCACCTTTTGGGAACACCAGAATGCTCAATCATTCTACTCTCGCCTACTGTGAACATTGTGGGAAGCTGCGATGATACAGCGAACCACCATAGATCTTCACGTTCTTTCTTGATCTCAACCGGACTCGACCGACTAAGATCCTTGAGTAATAGAGAATCTAAATGAGAGGATGAGATTGGATGATGGGAGACTGACTTCATTCTAACTCACGTGACGCGATAGAAATCCTCGGAATTCGGCACCCGCAGCTTTCCATCGACGGATTTCATGTTGCTGAATCTGTTCGCACGATAATTCACAGCCCAGACGTCGAATCCAGAGTCAGCCAAGATGAATGCCAAGCTTTCATTCCGAAGATTCACCATGAAGTCCACGGACGAGGCCCCGAAGCCGTGCGAAAGCATCACCGGCGAGGATAGCGTCTCGTTATAGATGTGCTTGTTCCTGATCCGATGAATTTCGAGCCGCCAATGATCGATCGTGATTACCGTATGTCTCTCCAAGTGCATACCACGGAGGGCAACGAAGGTTTCCTAAATTCAGATTTTCCTCAACTTTTTTCTCATCTGTCGACTCTGTAATCCAGGTGGGGAGAATCAAGTCCCCACCCGATGCAGCCGATACAGGACGGATCAGCTCACTCGGATTAATTTACCAAATCATCAGCGCGTAGAGCGGCTATATCCTCCTCTAGGGACATGCCTTTCAATGTCTTCACCGACCATATGAGAGTCCAGGCTCCGATGATGCCAATTGAGAGTTTGACGAACATTCCGCGAGTCCCGTGGGAACGATCCACTCGGTCCGATGGGACTCTTCGGGGCGAGTGGCTTCCTTCAACACCTAAATTTTGGATCCTTTAAAAATGGTTTTCCGATCAGCTCTCGAGGGCGCTCCAGAACACGCGATGGTGTTTCCAAGGGTCCATCACATGCGGTGAGGCCCCATGATCCTCTACGGATCGAATAGAATTTCGAGAGATAAGGGCCATACGTCAGATTGATGGAATTCACCAATAGATTTTATAGGGCAATCCGAGGGGGTGCTCACCTGGGTTCCGTGGAGAGAGCGGAGTTCGCGCGCCCAGGGGGCGCCACTACTTGAGTACTTCAAACCGCACCCGCGAAAAGCATGCTGTTCCGACTCGAGTTCCGAGCTCATACATATCCAGCCGAAAGGGAAAACGACGCTCTCGAAAAGGCGCCCCGAAGAATTAAAGCCCGAAAAAAAGTCTCAAAACAGGAAACATGAGCGTGGACCTGCTGTAGCAGTTTCCTCTTTTGAGTCCTTCGATCTTATCGCAGGCGATTGGAGTAATCCGGGACTGACGTCTGCTCTCTTGCTCCACCATTCCGACTCCACTCCAGTGAGCCTGGTATGGCTGAGGCTGAACAGTGCCGCGAGGTCTGTCGAGAACGAGGAGCTTGGGGATGTTGGGGACCAGATATTTGAAACCAGCTAGCATCCGAGATCACATACCATACGGCCCAGAGTTTCCTCTCTTCTCGGGGAAAACCGACTCGATTCCATACTTTTCATGATTGGGAATCGATCGCATAGATTTTTTTTCAATGTCAAGAGCAGGGTCATCCGGTATGGGGCAACAGCTCAAATGCCTGTCCATTGTCTGTGATTGTCCGCGTCTCCGGTGCATGCGATCCGGCAAAAATTAACTACTGTGGGACTCCCAACACTAACTCGATGCTCCGCGAGCGTGGCGCCTGTGAAGGTTGGTCGCAGCGTATCCGAGAGAGTGGTCGGGACGGTGCAACCTGCAGAGTGCTCCGGATCGCTCGAAAATGTGAGATTCCGAGCTAGGATCGTGTACGAAGATTTGTTCGAGCTAAACCCACGAGATCCTGCGGAGGCGCAAGTAACACTGTTCACTCTCAGCTTGTCTGTCGCTGGTGCTTCACGTGACGCTGCGGAGTTTCACAATTTATGATAAACTTCTGGCAATACGGCGGGACCCCGTCCGTAGACAATCTCAATGGTCGGATGCGTGTCAGTACCATGATGCACCAACATACGTTTGTCTCATTGGACCGTTCAGAATTCCGGACTGAGAGTTCTCGATCTCGAGCAGTGCGTCAAATTCTGTGATAGGCCATCCGGACAGCTCGCGATTCGGAAGTTGTGTATCCTGAATTTTTCCGTGTGTTGGCAGTCCAGCTACGCCACCATGCACGGAATGAGAATGGACGTGCTTCCCGCTCTCACGGTCGATGGCTGGAAACTGGAAGCCCATAGAGTGAGGAACATGAGAGTGTTCAACTCGACGCTATCGACGCCGGTGTATCTCTCGCACGGCTTCGGTTGCTCTTCTTTCGACTACATGGCCAACTCCCGGAATGAGAGTCTCGCCTTCACTCTCGTCGACCGAGGTTATGATGTTTGGGATGTCAACTACGGAGCGAATAAATTCAGGAATCGCAAGAGGAAGAATGACCGTTTCGCTAAAAGCCGGGTCCGAAGGACTACTACGAGGCCACGTGACCCATGAGTGGATTCCGGTTCTCGGGAGGGATTTTCGCGTGCCGAATACGGATTTTCTACTGGTTCAGGGGAATTAGGATTCGGAAGATCGAGTGTCGTGTCTAGATTTCTGCCAAATGCAACCATACGAGGTAGGACGGAAGCTAGCAATTGGCGAAGTGGATTGAATTATTGAACATGAGATTATTCGAGGTGGCAATACATGGCAGAATACGATGTACCTGCTTTCTTGGAAACCACTATGCAAGATGAGGTCCACCTAATCGGCCAATCGATGGGAGCCACGATACAATTCGCTTTTCTCTCCGAGAATCACGCCTATGATGAAAAGGTTAGTTCTGATCCTTCCCCCGACATGATTGCTTTAGCTTTAGCAGCCCATCGAATACCAGGACTCCAGTCTCAGCACGGAAGGAGGATCAGCATGGATCCGTGAATCTTCTCCTGTGTCATCGATGGTTTGCAGATAAATACTTTCACCGCGATTGCTCCTGTAATTCAATTCGGGAAGGACACCTCTCGCACTATCCGCTCGCTCTTCTCTGTGGTGAAGACACTGGCTCGGATGTCTGTTTGGGTTTGTATCTGATGTAGAGTGAATATCGGACCGAGCCAGAGCCTTCTCAAGAAAGTGCTCCAGGTCCCTAGGCAGACTCAGTCTAATTTCCACACATATCGACTCCAATAATTGGATGCATTCCAAGGAATTGCTCTATTCCAATTGATCAGGCAAGGCGTTTCCTGAAATCGATAGCTCCGAAGATGCACTAGCCTACAGGCAGAATATCTAGCGTTCCAATCCGGGCGAGTTTGCTGTGCCACTACCTCTTCAACGAAAGGCGATAATCTTCGCCTTGGAACCTGATTCTTGACAACCGCGTGCTTCAAAGATTCCACTTGTTTTATGAACGAACAATCCAATCTTATCCGATTCCATTCGAGCTGCAAGGATCTGCCTCCCCGTCTCTCGCTTGTCTATCAAGCCGGCCGGTCTATCTCACGTGGGACGGATCGCTAGGCTCCGTCTATGATCGAATGACTCGAGTTTTTTCGCGAATTTTTCATTCTGAATCGATACGACATATAAATCCCTGATCGCAGCCATTTTATGAACCTCTCTTCGGAGCTCGCTTGTTCGCCGCCCGGAACGACGGAGTCAATGTGGCTGCGAAATTCTTTCAGAGCAGCGCATGTCGCCTAGCCCCGAAGCCTGTGCGCTCGCCGCAAACCTGTTCTTCCAGACTCGAGCCTCGGACAGATTCCGTGGTAATCCCTTCAGAAGATCGGTGATGGCTTTGTAACCTCGTGCTGGGTGTCCCAGGATATCGTCTCAATGAGAGCGATCGGGGGGAGGCAGAATCGGTGAGGAAGCTCGTGTAGAGAAATGCCACAGCTGAGCTCAGCTTCATGTGTTAAAAATGGAGATGCTCTCGTTGAAGGCGAGAATTGCACTGTACTTCTCGAAATATCCAGTGGGAGTGACAATGATGAACGGCTATCTCTACGCTCTTCAATATGGAAGAGACACTTGGATCAAGATGGGTTACGACCTTGCCCCAAGAAGCGGATTCTGCAACCTCGCGGAGTACAACCAGGTAGTGGACTTCGGCCCCTCAGTTCCTCGGGGACTGGAGGCTTATTAATCATGAATCACATGCATATAGCATGCAGCTCATCGAGGATATCTTGAGGAAGTATATCGATGGTTTCAGACCAAACCTCCGGCTCTTGACTCCGAGAAAGTTGGAGTGCCTCTTGTGATGCATATCACCGCGAATGACATATCCGAGGGCGAGGCGACCGCGAGGCAAGTTCTAGCCGATTTCAAACTCAAGACATCGGACTCCGAAGTAATCGACGGGCTTCGTTTGAGTCACCACGATACTCTCTGGGTATGGGACTCTCGCTGCTGAATATACGATTCGACCATCGCGAGATTAGACCGCGTCGAGGAAAGTCTTGGGCCTTCGAAGACCCACTATTTCCGGACGACGATCCCGCAGTATCTGTCGGAGTTGCACTTGGAGGATGGCTGCAAACGAAATTGAAGGATTCCCATCGTACACATTCTCATAGTGGTCAGCTTGAAGGAAGATTGAGAACTGAGGATGTTCGGAGCCCTCACGACCCGATTTCCAATCACACTGATGATAATCGTGGTGACTCAATAAATATGCATCTATCGCCTTTCAACAATGATTTTCAACGCTGATTCGACTCACAAGTAAAGTCCGTTCCCCGGCGCTTCCGTACCGCTTGTGGATTAGGGTCCGAGGCTCCGGAAAAGGTTTCATTCCGGAAGAAAATGAATGACTCCGTGACAACGAAGGAGTAAGAGGCATTTTTTTGTCATCCTTATCTTTTGTTTCACTCGCTCCTCAGTGTTCAACATGCGGCCGAAGGTGTCAAATCTACAACGTTGTAAACGCGGTATGGAGAGCTCAGCAAGCCGGCCGGCAAGGTAGCGAAAACTTCAAAGGTCGCGCTGCATACTAGAAAGCGCAGACGTGATGCCAGAGAGAATACCTCAGAACTGACGGATATGGTCCTTCTGGTTGCCAATAGGTAAGGGTCATCCGGAACGACTCTGATAGAATTCACTGCGAGCGAAGAAGAGCTCAGTCCCGACTATGTCCCAATTCCCCGACGTGCACAAGCTTGGAAAATGGCAACTGCATACTTCGGGCGGTCTTTCTCGAGAACGAATTCGGGCACAGTTGGAGCGTAGGTGATCGGTTGTGGTTCGTTCGGGATCTCAAGACAGTGACGGCTCGCACGAGAAAGTGAAAGCACGAGAAAATTATCGTTACTCGATTGTTGAGCATTACGAAAGATCATAGGATAGACGCTTCACGTCCACTAAGGAGAGTGTCATGACTCATGAGCATGTAGCAGTTTTATGTATTTATTCGCGGAAAAGCTCGAGCAAGATGAACTTGCCTCGCAGACCGAGATTTCCCCTGTCCTACATCGATAGATCGCTGGGAATACCGGAGCGGGCAGCGAACCTCCGAGTTGAAATCTCTGACTCACATCAATGAAGTTTGAGAACAATCTGGATCACGAAGACCGTTCAGTGATGGAGAAGCACCTCAACTTGAGTTTTATTACAAGCTCCCGAGATGAGGAGGCGAGTCAGAGAATCTCCGGAGAGTTTCTCACATTTCTCAGAGTCCCCTGCGATTCAATCGGAGTGCCTTATGTGATAAAGTCAAGTCGATCAGGGCCTTCCCATGTCCACGAGAACCGAGCTGTGAACAGTCTGCTTAGTCGAGCTTCTCCGGAAACATGCACTCACTCAGAACTCAGAAGATAGGCCTTGTGCGGGCTTTTTAGACGTCGGATTTGAGGGCGTTCTCAAAATCGTATTCATGCTGTTTCAGCTCACTGCTTGGAATGGCACCGAGTTCCATGATCTCAGCCCTCTCGATATGAAAGAGTCGATCATTTGGTGGAACACTCGAGTAGCTCCGACGTTTGAGAGTCCGATGAAGTTCTTTGATCACTGCAGGTACAATAACAGTCATCAGCAGGCAGGCCAACAACATATACAACACGACCATTGTCGCACGCGCGCAAGCGATCTCGTATAAGAATTAACGACAGATGCAACGCTCGATACGAGCCATGTTAGGCTTTCTAAGCCCCGCTGATCGTTGCGCGATGATTAGAGCCTCACTATTTCGGGGCGTCGAATCAGAATTTCCTTACAGCGCGGCGGAACTGACTCTCATGCCGCTCAATCTTTTTGGGAAACGCTCCCTTAAGATACTCACTCCCGCTCAGGATATCGAAGCCTCGAGAGAGAGGGTCTGAGAGAATAAACCGCTGATCTTCATGGTGGTCGGGATTAGGTGTCCGTGCTTGTTGATAAGACGCACTCGGCGGGCGGGTAGACAGACAAAAAGGTCGTGGATACCCTTTTCAGAGATACAAACCACATCTCCTGGGATCAACTGAATGCTGCAGGCCAACGGCCGAACGGTCATCCGGGGACTCCGGGACAATCCAGGGCTCAAATAATTTTCTTGCACTCCAAGATGTCATGCTCGAGTGCTACATGGGTCGTTGAGACGAAATTTATCGTGGAGGCGGTCGACGGGCGGTGAGCCAGCCGGCAGCGAGGTTCATCATTTCAACGATTAGGAATCGATTGACGCAGCTCCTCAGAGCGTTGTTCGAATTCATTCATTGAAATCGCTCGAGCAATTATGAACTTGGGACCCACGAGCTCGCGGTTCTATCAAGAGCAGCACATGCTATAAGATTCACCCCCCCCCTTCGCCCCTTCGCGGAGCTTTCCTACTCGTGAGACGGCACAGGCAGCCACTGATCTCCTCCTCCGCGTACCAGGCCGAGAAACACTCAACTCCCTGACTGAATAGGCGTTGTGACGAACGGACCAGGTCCATTGCGCATACACTACACTCACAGCACACTATCTTTCCCAACAGATTCTAATTTCCCATAATCCATTCAACTATTTCCTCAGAGAGACCAGAGAGACTTATTGGGGAACTTCGGATCAAGGATCCATATTTATTCATATCCATATTATTCGGTGTATTATTATCATATCAGCATCGATTATATCTCCAGGAGAGATAAGAATAAATCCACAGGAAGTTGGGCCGCGCACTTAGATAACAAACACACACTCGGCACGGCGCGGATCAATCATACCGATTCCTCCCGCTCACGGCGCCACCGTCAACAGTCAAGAAACCGGCCGGCGGAGACATCGAGCCGTCAACACACACACACAATACAATC